TAAGAATCTTGGGAGGAAGCATTTATTCAAGATTATCTGGGTGAGTTCTGAATGCCATCATGAATCCCTCTAAGAGACAGGCAAAGAGGGATCTGACCGGGGCTCACGCAGAAAAGAAAGAGATATGAAAATGAAGCCAGAGCTGAGGGTGATGTGGCCACGAGACAAAGATGAACAGGTCATGCCTACAGCCACCAGAAAACAAAAAAGCAGAAACAAGTTCACCATCACCACCATATCTCCTCTGCCCACCACCCTCCAGAGACATCATGGCCTTGCTAGTACCTTGATTTCAGACTCCTGGCTTCCAGAACTGTGAGAGAATAACTTTCTGTTGTTTCAAGCCATCAAGTACATGGTTATGTAATTGGTTATGACAGCCCTAGGAAACTGATACAGTTGATTACTTCATGTATCCTTTATGTAAATATTCCATTATACCCCATATTTTATCTTCAGGAAGTTTTTTTTTTTTTTTTAATCTAACCAAATTTCTCCTATATTGTAACTGACAGAGCCATACACTTTTTGGATTGAAAGGGATATTACAAGTCATGTGCTCCAACTTCCCTTGGACTACTTTTCATTATTTTTTTTTCTTTGAGACAGAGTCTCGCTGTGTTGCCAGGCCGGAGTGCCATGCTGCGATCTCGTCTCACTGCAACCTCTGCCTCCTGGGTTCAAGCGATTCTCCTGCCTCAGCCTCCCGAGTAGCTGGGACTACAGGCGCACGCCACCACACCCAGCTAATTTTTGTATTTTTAGTAGAGAGGGGGTTTCAGCATGTTGGCCAGGATGGTCTTGATCTTTTGACCTAGTGATCCACCCTAGCCTTGGCCTCCCAAAGTGCTGGGATTACAGGTGTGAGCCACCGCGCTCGGCTACTTCTCATATTTGAAAATCATATATCCATACAGATATTTACACATTCAAGCTATTTCATGTTTTCTAGCATTGCCTAGTATATGCTAAATCAGAAAAGCTTCCATCCAGTTCTTTCCTTGGAATCAAGTTAATTTCTTTTACATGACATTACTCCAAAGGTTTAGTTATATCTATCATTTTCTCTGCCTGCTTTTTTCCTTCGGTATTCACAGAAATTGTTATCAAAAGTGTGATATCACAAAAGAAAATTCCTAAAACAGAATTTAAAGAGGAAAGGCATTAAGTACATTGTTGAATTCAATCTCTAATTTACATAGAACTCTATTTTCCCATATTGCCAGAAGTAGTCAGCTATTTCATCATGGTATAACATCTATTTTTGTGTGTGTGTGTTTGTGTGTGTGTGTGCGCGCACACACGTGTGTCTGTGTGTGTTCTTATATCATGCTCAGATCTACTTTTTAGTTTTTATGCATTAGTAGGATTTCTAACCTTTATGAATCAAACTATGCTATGCACATGATTCCCCTTTAAATACTTGAAGAAAACTGCATCATGCTTTAACAAAGCATTTTCTATTCAACACTGAAAAAAATCAATGCCTTCAATAATTCTTCAAGAGGCATGATGTTCTGATTTTTCAATTCTCTCATTATTATTTTGCATAGATATTTTAGTTTTATAATTTATCTTTTAAGATATAAATACTCAAACTGAAGCCAATAATCTACATGTTTTATTATCTATATGTGTTAGCTGGGCTTCTACGGGATTCACTGCCACTTATAGTTCTATTAATACTATTCTGTGGTACATAATTGAAGTAAATATGTCTGTCTTTATTTAAAATTTCACCCTTTTGTTTATTGCTTTTATTTTTTTTATTTCTGACTTCTATAGAATTATTAATTTCTGGAAGTTTAGTGTCATTTTTAATTTATTAAGTCAGTTCTCCTTAAATTCAAACAAGTTATTCATAGCTGCATATTCCAGTAGGATAAAACACGTCTTATAACAATAATACCTTATTTCCACGGTGATAATGTTTTATTAATCACCTTTTGAGTTGAGGTTTTACAAGGAGATAGGGACAAATGGAACTGCTTTAACATCTTGGTCATTATTGCTCCATATTACATAGAAATAGAATAAGAATTGTTTGCAAATTCTATTCAGAAATCAAGATTTATGGAAGTCCTAGCCAGAGCAATCTGGTAAGAGAAAGAAGTAAAACACATCCAAATACAAAAAGAAGTGCAACTATCTCTGTTTACTGAGGATATAATTCTATTCCCAGAAAACCCTAAAGACTCTGCCAAAAGGTTCCTGAAACTGATAAAATACTTCAGTAAAGTTTCAGGATACAAAATTAATGTACAAAAATTAGTAGCATTTCTATACACAATTAATGTTCAAGCAGAAAGCCAAATCAAGAAAGTAATGCCATGTACAATAGCTATAAACACACATACACAGTACCTAGGAAGACATCTAATGAGGGAGGTGAAAAATCTCTATTAGGAGGACTGCAAAACACTGCTGAAGAAATAATAGATGTCACAAACAAATGGTAAAACATTCCATGCTCATGGATTAGAAGAATCAATATTGTTGAAATGGCCATACCACCCAAAGCAATCTACAGATTCAATGCTATTCCTATCAAACTGCTGATGTTATTTTTCTCAGAAGTAGAAAAACTATTCTAAAATGCATATGGAACCAAAAAAGAGCCCCAATGTCTGAAGCCATCCTAAGAAAAAACAACAAAGCCAGAGTCATCACATTACCCAACTTCAAACTATACTATAATGCTACAGTAACAAAAACAGCACAATACTGCTACAAAAAGAGACACATAGACCAATGGAACAGAATAGAGAACTCAGAAATAAAGTCGCAAACATATAGCCATCTGATCATTGACAAAAATAAGCAATGGAGAAAAGACTTCCTTTTCAATAATCATGCTGGAATAGCTGGCTAGCCATATGCAGAAGAATGAAATTAGACCCTTATCTGTCAACATACACAAAAATTAACTAAAGATGGATTCAAGATTTAAGTGTAAGACCTCAAACTATAAAAACTGAAGAAAAAAACCTTGGAAACACCATTCTGAACATGGCCCTTGGGAAATAATTTATGACTAAGTCCTCAAAAGCAATTGCAACAAATATAAAAATTGACAAGTGGGACCTAATTAAACTAAAGAGCTTCTGCATGGCAAAACAACAACAACAAACTATCAACAGAGTAAACAGACAACCTACAGAGTTGGCAAAAATATTTGCAAACTATGCATCCAACAAAGGAATGTCCAGAATCTCTAAGGAACTTAAACAACTGAACAAGCAAAAAGCAAATAACAACCATTAAAAATGGGCAAAATACATGAACAGACACTTCTTGGAAGAAGACATACAAGCAGCCAACAAACATATGAAAAAATGTTAATCATCACTAATCACCAGAGAAAGGCCAATCAAAACCACAGTGAGATATTATCTCACATCAGTTGGAATGGCTATCATTAAAAAGTCAAGGAACAACAGATGTTGGCAAGGCTGTGAAGGAAAGTGAATGCTTATACACTGTAGGTGGGAAAGTAAATTAGTTCAGCCATCGTGGAAAGCAGTTTGGAGATTTCTCAAACAACTTAAAACTATGATTCCACTCAGCAATTCCATATGGGGTAGATATCCAAAAGAAAATTCTACCACAATACATGTGAATTCATATGTTCATCACAGCACTATTCACAATAGCAAAGACATGGAATGAACTGAGGAGCTCATGAACAGTGAACTGGATAAAGAGTATGTGGTACATATATACTATGGAATACATAAGTCAGAAAAAATAAATAATCATGTCATTTGCAGCAACATACAGCTACAGGCCATTAACCTAAGTGAACTAACAGGGAATAGAACACCAAATACCATGTGTTCTCACTTAAGTGGGAGCTAACCACTGCGTACTCATGGACATAAAGATGGCAACAGTAGACACGAGGGACTATGGCAGTGGGTAGGTGGGGAGGGGGCAAGGGTGGAAAAAATTATTGTGTACTAAGTACCTGGATGACAAGATCAATCATACCCAAAACCTAAGCCTCACAAAATATACCCAGGTAACAAACCTGCAAATGTACCCATGAATCTAAAATAAAAGTTGAAATTATTAAATTAAAAAAAAAAAAAAGAAAGAAAAAGAAATCAAGAATTATAGGCTGGGTGCAGTGGCTCACATCCATAATCCCAGCACTTTGGGAGGCCGAGACGGGTGGATCACCTGAGGTCAGGAGTTTGAGACCAGCCTGGCCAACATGACAAAACCCTGTCTCTACTAAAAATACAAAAATTAGCCAGGTGTGGTGGCACTTGCCTGTAATCCCAGCTACTCTCCATAGGCTGAGGCAGGAGAATCACTTGAACCTATGAGGCAAAGGTTGCAGTGAACCAAAATCGTGCCACCACACTCCATCCTGGGTGACAGAGTAAGACTCCATCTTAAAAAAAAAAAAGAATTATTATACACATATAACATTCCCCCACTATATCAGCCTCTACCTCTATAAAACAGTTTAGTATTTGTTGTTTTAAATGAAGCCAGAATGAATACATATATATATATATATATATATTATAGTCACAAGATAACTGATAGCAAAATATTTATAGAAGTTTGTCATATGGCTTTAGAACTTACCAATATGCAATTTGTTAGATCAATTAATGGCTTATTTTTAAAAATGTAAAATACTTCAATCTCCATCACTCTGGTTTCTCTAGTATTTTCTCATAATTTTTTTTTTTTTTTTGAGACGGAGTTTCGCTCTTGTTACCCAGGCTGGAGTGCAATGGCGCGACCTCGGCTCACCGCAACCTCCGCCTCCTGGGTTCAGGCAATTCTCCTGCCTCAGCCTCCTGAGTAGCTGGGATTACAGGCATGCGCCACCATGCCCAGCTAATTTTTTGTAGCTTTAGTAGAGACGGGGTTTCACCGTGTTGACCAGGATGGTCTCGATCTCTTGACCTCGTGATCCACCCGCCTCGGCCTCCCAAAGTGCTGGGATTACAGGCTTGAGCCACCGCACCCGGCTATTCTCATAATTTTTTAAAGGACACTGACATTGCTTTTGAGCTGACATCAAAATATGTCTCTGGAAATCTGATATATCATTTAGTTGGACTTTAAGATATGAATGCATTTTAATTAAGGAATGTCCCCTCATATTTCAATATGCTCTATTAGGATTTTGCTCCTATTTTCCTTTAAATCATAACTCGTTTTTAAAAATAAAAGAAACTCAGCAAGCAATATAGCTTTTTTTAGTTTAACTCTTAGCACAGCTGTTCCCAAAGGGTGATCTCCTGACAGGCAATATAAATATCACCTGGAAATCTGTAGAAATGCAAATAATCAGGCCCCACCCCTGACCTACTGCATTAGAACGTCTGGAAGTAGATGACACCCACCAATCTGAATTTTAAAAGCCCTACAGATTATTCTGATGCAAGTTAAAGTTTAAAGATCTACCATGTTGCATTAGAATTATGCTGAAATTTATGATGTTACTGTAAGGTTTTCAAGTAAAACATTCTAATTGTATTTTGTAGTTACTGCATTTTATGCTTTTACGACATATTTGATAAAAGAAAAATTGGAAAAAAATAATAATGAAGAAGCAGTTAATATAATTATAGTGTAACAAGTCACAAAATCAACCAAATAATCAACTATAGTGTGTATTTTCTTTAGCACTTTTATGGGCTCTGAAGGTCATATGGAAGAAGTTGAAATTACGATCTATGCTGCCTCAAGGGCACTAACATGAAATTAGTAAGCATTTCTTTTTGGACAAGAAGCGTGCATTAAACAAGCAGTGGACATCATTATATAATGTGCTTTTTTATGACTTAACCTATAAGGGCTTTTGAGGTTAAAAGGAGGGAGGCAATATATACAGTAGAGGAATCATTTAAAAAGGTCAATAGCAGGCATTTGATTTCAGTCTAAAATGTAGCTACAACTTTATTTGGTAGCTAGACTGGGACATTTCAACTTAGAAGTGGGAAGTACAGAAACAATAGAAGATCTCAGTAAAATTGAGGGGGGAAAACATTGTGGATTTTAGTATCGTGTTGATGTGCAAACAGTGTTAAAATTTAAGTTAGAGCTGTTAACCTTATAGCTGTAATTAAGATAAGATTTTTGGATACTTCTGTTAGATCTACAATTGTCTGAAAATGATTTGTGCCATGGAGTTTGTGTGTGTGTGTAAGGATGAGGGCATTGTCTATGTATCAAAATGTTTTATTTCCGGGGAAAGGATTTCTAAGCTTTTATTCTGGTTTCAGAGAAGCCTAAGACTCTTACCCATGTATACAGACCAGTGGTATGATGTTTGAAACCTTAAAGATTTTAAGGCTATCCTATTTTGAGAGTTCATAAAAGACCAGTTTCAAGACGTGCAATGAATATATCTAGGCAGTAGAAAACAGATGTAGTTCTCTGTTGATGACATTTTATTTAAAGATCACCATAGTACTTTTTCTAAGAATAATGATAATGAATCAATTTGGAGAGAATTAAATTATAAGCTTTGTGAAATTGAAGGCTTTAAAAGGTTTCTCATTTGGGAATTCCCTATTTTTTTATTAACACCCTGGCAAGAAAATATTTAGGCAACAGAAACAAATACAGCTTTTTGTCAAGGAAATTTTCTTTGAGGGAGCTTACAATAGTTCTCTATATTAATGACAAAAAATAGGGCAACTTGCAAAGAAGTTAGTAAGCTAAGTAAGCATTATGTCTTTAGCAAAGCTTATCATTTGCATATTTCTTATCTCTTGATTAAGAAGACTCTTGCAGCCAACCTTTTAAAGGCTTCCTTTACCTCTCTGTTCCTAAGTGTATATATAAGGGGATTCAGCATGGGTGCAATGATTCCATAGAAGAGAGAAACCATCTTTCCCCGGTCCTTGGAGCTGGGTGAAGGTGGTTGCAGGTACATGGAGGTAGCTGTACCGTAAAAAAGTGACACCACAATTAGATGGGAGCCACATGTCCCAAATGCCTTTCGTCTACCTTCAGCAGACTGGATTCTCAACACTGCCCGGACTATAAATGCATACGATATAAGGACGAGTATCACGGGTATTAGAAGGAATAGCACACTGACGAGGAATAGTTCGGCCTCATTTGCTGTTGTGTCAACACAGGACAACTTGAGCAGTGCAGGGACTTCACAGAAGAAGTGATCCACTTCTCTGTGACCACACAGTGGCATCTGAAGTGTCCAGGTGGACTGCAATACTGAATTACTGAAGCCACTAATCCAGGATGCAGCTGCCAACTGGAGGCAGAGCCTCTGGTGCATGATAACTGAGTAATGGAGAGGCCGACAAATAGCTACAAACCTATCAAAGGACATGACGGCCAGGAGAAGACATTCAGTGGAACCCAATGCCAGGAAAATGAAAAGCTGGGCCACACAGCCACCATAACTGATTACTTTCCTGATGTTGCATATGTTTACCAGCATTTGTGGAACTGTACTTGTGGTATAGCAAAGATCCAGGAGTGAGAGATTGCTAAGAAAAAAGTACATAGGGGTGTGGAGTTTGAAATCCAGATGTGACACAAGAATTATTGTCAGATTGCCAAAGATCGTCAAGATATAGGAAAACAGGAACATCACAAAGAGTGGAAGCTCTAGCCATGGTCGATCTGAGAACCCTAACAGAATGAACTCCTGTGGGACACTCTCATTTATCCAATTCATGCTAAATGGTTCAACTCTTCGTTCTCTGAAATATGAGAAGTCAGGAGGTTAATAAACACATTTATTGATTATGTCAGCTATAATCATTTTGCTAGCAATTTACATAAATTTACAGATTGATCATACTAATAATTTGAAAAAACTACTGATAAAGATATAAATATTTATCTAAGTGTTTCAAAAGCGTTTATATATTTGTAACACCATATTAGCAAAGTGAATTTCAAGAATCTTAAGCCACATTTTCAGTTTCCAGATTCACATAATGTATCCTTTGATATTTTACTGTTTGTAAATGTATTTTTCATGTTCTTCCTACCTAAATATCTACTGTGAGATGGATGTAGATACAGTTACCTGCCATTTGAATTCATTCTAATTTCTCCTCAATGCCAGTGAGATTCCTGATTGTGGGAATCAGTTAAAATTAATTAAAGCCACCTCCTATTACTCCCCTACTTTCAAAAACAGCCATGTAGACTGTATCTAGTAAGTTATCCAGACACAATTTAAGGAGATGTATCCTTTTTGTTTTGGAAGCTCACTGAATTTGTATAGATTCCTTAATAATAATGATATTTGAGGTTGACAGGCCTGGGCTCATGTCCCTACCCTCCCTAATCAGTTACATTCATTATATTGGAATGTTTCTAACCCTTTGGTCTCCACACTTCTCATTTGTAAAATGAAGATAATATAGTGGTCCCCCTTTATCCATAGGGGATACATTCCAAGACCCCTAGTGGATAGATACCTGAAACTGTGGATAGTAGCAACCCCTATATATACTATTTTTTAAAATATATACACAACTATAATAAGGTTTAATTTATAAGTTTGGCACAGTAAGAGATTAAGAACAGTAACTAATAAAATGGAACAATTATAACAGCTTAACACCCCCATGTGTTGTAATAAACTTTATGTGAATGTGGTGTCCTCTCTTTTTTTCTCTCTCAAAACACCTTATTCTCACCCCTCTTGCGTTCTGCCGATCTGATGACCGAGATGGCTACTAATTGACTAACAGGCAGGTGGATGCTCTAAATCAAGTTTGTCCAAACAGGCCCATGGGCTGCATGCGGCCCAGGATGGCTCTGAATGTGGACCAACACAAATTTGTAAACTTTCTTAAAACATCATGAGATTTTTTGTGATTAAAAAAAAAATCAGCTATTGTTAGTGTTGCTGTATTTTATGTGAGGCCCAAGACAATTCTTCTTCCAATGTGACCCAGGGAAGCCAAAAGTTTGGACACCCCTGCTCTAAACAATAAGATGATTCCCACGACCGGGCGGGACAACACAAGACTTCATCAGGCTATTCAGAATGGCGTGAATTTAAACCTTATGAATTGTTCAATTCTGGAATTTTCCTTTTAATATTTGCAGACCATGGCTGACTGTGGGTAGCTGAAATTGTACAAAGCAAAATCACAGAGAAGGGAGATCTACTGTAATGTTTTTCTAAGTTGTCTTGATGTGAAGTATAAATGATGTGAGGTATAAACACACACGCCTACCCTAGACTCATGCCTTTAGAAATGGAGAAGAGTGGATGAAAGGAAACTGTAGAGATGCAAGGTCTGAGGTGCCCAGAGAGGAATTACTTATGATTTTAGGATTTTACATTTCTTAGGGTTACCAGTGAAAATGACTCTGCCTGTTAAAATCAACATCTGATTAACTCTAACGACAGGAAGTCATAGTAAGCATCTGATGTGAGTATAAATGTGGTCTTGAGTGTAAATTGCCTGCCATAGTGCCTGGCACACGGATGCACAGCTGTGTCAGAGAAACTACAACAGTTCTGCAGCAACTCTGAGAAGCTTTGAGTAGCGGTAATTTAGCCCCATAAATTTCCTGGAGGGACTAATATGTCAACTCTGCCAGCTAAACATGTATTCATCCCCCCAAAAATCTTAATGGGACACTTAATAATTGTATTGTTTTATCAATGTTAGAATATTTGTTTTTCAATTTCGTTCATGTTCAGCATAATGTTAGCAATGTGAATTTTAATTTTCTACTTATTTTAGAACCATTAGCTTCCTAAAAAATGTCTCCTCACTCTCACCTGAAAAGGAAATTGAGATTTGTAGTCAGATATGGATATGAAATGATATTCAAAAGTATTTTTAAGTCAAAAAATGAAGTTATTGAACATTTGTATAGCATGATTCCATCAGTTTAAGAAAGGAATATAATATTAGTATAATATTAATATTAATATATAAATTAAAAGCTACTTTTGAATAATATAAAAGAAACTATTACCCCTCAGAAATCAAAATGGGGATGACTAAAGCAGACTTTACTTATAAATTTACCTATTTTTGTTCAAGTTTTTAATAAGCAGGCATTACTTTTATATTTTTTAATGACCCTGCTGACCAATTTATTCTCTGTATTCTACTTTCAGACTAGCATGGCTTTAGTTAAGACTTTGATCCCCATGAGGATGAAAATATTATAAGAAATTAAATTTTTTAGCTCTCTTGATAATTCCTTAAAATTCAGTCTGAATGTACTTTTTTTTTTTTTTTAATTTTTGGGACGGAGTCTTGCTCTTGTCACCCACGCTGGAGTGCAGTGGCGCAATCTCGGCTCACTGCAACCTCTACCTCCCAGGTTCAACGATTCTCCTACCTCAGCCTCCTGAGTAGCTGGAACTATAGGTGCCCACCACCAAGGCCCTGGCTAATTTTTGTATATTTAGTAGAGGCTGCCATGTTGGCCAGGCTGATCTCGAACTCCTGACCTCGTGATCCGCCTGTCTCGGCCTCCCAAAGTGCTCGGATTACAGGCTTGAGCCACCGTGCCTGACTGTACAAAGAGTTTTTAAAGCACGGATTGTAGGAGCATTTTGTATCTTACTAGTTATATATATATATATATATATATATATATATATATGTCCAAGGAATGCAGGAATCAGAGAAAACAAGACAAATGGCCTCAGTTAAAGAGAGATTTCATACATGTCAATATTTTTGAGGTGCACACATGTTGAAGAGATCCCCTCAAACCCATCATATTGGGATGGCTGAAATGCTCAAGTTATTTCAGCACTGCTGAATGTACCCCTGCTGTCCTGACACAGTCACTACCAGAGTCACTCCTATTCTCAGACACATTCCTGCTTGGATAAATCATAAGGTCTCCCTTCATTTATTGCTCGGGAGGTATCTCACTGTTAAAGACACTGTATGTGCTTTCTCCTTTAACATGGGTCGGTGGTCCTTCCTTCCTGACCAGGCCCTCTGTCTGACTTTCCTCCTTAGAACTCAGCCAAGAGACTGCCTCACCAAAAAGCCCTCTCACTGAGGATTACAGGAGAGAATCAGTTAACTCTTTTTAAACTAGGTGACAGCCTCACTCTGAGATTCAGTCCTCACAAAAGAAATAAACTGCTTCATCATTAATATATTTGCGTATCCATTTATGTAATATCCTCTCACTTTCTGGAGTAAGGGCACAAGGAGGCAGAAATATTTATCACTCTAGTAGGAAGCCCTGCAGCTGAATAACAATGATGCAGCCAGAAAGCAGTGAGGGGAGGAAGCTGGAGATTTCAGAGCACTGAATTCTCGCGTTCTGTCTTACTCATCTTTGCACACTTTCTCATCTTCTGCACACACTGTTACCTCAAATATTTATCCACTCTTAAAAGGATATCTTTAAATAAATGTGGTATCCTTTTGTATTTCAGACAGTTTAAGTAATTTAAATTCTGATTTATGTCCCTAATTTTAGGATTAAAGTGTTTGTTGACAACTAAAAAGCAAAACAAAACAAAAACTAGGAAGTCCTTATCTGCATCATTAAGATTATATCCGATAGGCTACTGAGTATTTAACTGTTAACACCTGCTCCAATTGCTTGCAATTGTGGCTAATATCTTAAAGGTGATAGATTTCTCTGTTCTCCAATAAAATCACATTGCCAGCATCTCTAGATACAATTATTCTCATTTTGAATAGTAAACATTCAACTGACTAGCAAAACAAAACATTTGAATTATGTGAAATACCTAGCAGATCGGAAAGAGCATAGCAGTCATTTGGATTAAAACAGAAGTTAATGCAAGAGAATTTTAGAAAGCTGCTGAGGGAGACTTTACAGATTTTATCTGTGATCACGTTAAGATATTTTAACCCCTAGTTTAGAATACTTGCCTAGATGAATACACAACCTTACCTCCTTTCTTACCTGTGTATTGGTTGACCTTATATCTTTCATCTCCCTCTTGAATTTTTTCATTATATGTTTTTTAACATTAAAAAAGATGAGGTTCAACAGAGTCTTGGAAGCATCCTTTTAAATTGCACTGTGGAATAAACATCAAGACAAGAGAGGCAACAAGAGTTTTGGTCCCAAACCTGCCAGCAGAAGTTAGTGTATAATTGGGTGAGTTAGTTAATAGCTTTGGGTGTCAGTTTTATTTTCTGTAACATTATAGGGTTGCTACTTTCCTTACAGCATAAAAACTATTTACTTCTATGCTTTCTTAAAGTTTCTCATATCTCTGAGAGATAGATTTCCAAATACTGTCTTTTTGCTGGAGTATAAGAATGAATCATAGGACCATTTTTTTCCACATAGTTCATACACTGTACAAGGAAGTTTGTAAAATAAAAAATTCCGGTTTATAAAAGATTAATTTTGTATGAATTTATATGCTCAAAGGTATTACTTTCCCCAAATCCTAGGGCTTGTAAGCAGCAAACTGAAAATTAGAACCAAAGACTGACCTGCTCTAAAGTTCATATTTCCCACAGAGATTATGAATATGTTCAAAATAACATTATAACAATAAAGAGCATAGAAGATGAAGCTAAGTCAGATTTTTCCAGCAGGTAATTTGGTTTTTGCTGAGATTTGAACTACAAATGGACTATAACCTGAATGCTTAGAACACTCAAATTTTAATGTAATTTTATTTCATAATTTTTAGATATGTATTCTACTTACCTCCATTATAAGCTGTAGAGATAGATTAATTTATTTATTTTTTTTGTCTAAGAAGCCTTGAGTTCAAAGAGGCCTAAAGTGCACAGATACGTCTTCATATGGTTAGTTGCATACAAATGATTTCATGAAATTTTTTTCACTTAATTCCACTCAATATGCAGCAAGTCATGAAGTCTCTACTCAGAGTTAACTAGAGAATAATAAGAATGAAATATTGCAGATGATCAGAATGTGGCGTGCAGCATCACATCACTTGGAATTTAGGGTGTCAGCTGCTATTTTCAGAGACTTTTTCTAGTCAGTTTTGTAAAATCAGTAAAAGAATTTTCTCTATTGATTTTAGTGTTTTTTTGGTCTCTGGCAGAAATCTGAATCACTGAATTGCAAAACTCTTCCTCCACAGTTTATAGTAGTTAACAGCATACCCAGAGGGAGGAGAGAGGAAGGAGGTCTCTATGAAGCGATGTTCCTCTTTCGAAACTGATTTGTTAAGCAAAATCTTTTCTCTAGAGACTGAATTCTCAACATTTTGTAATGCAAAAGGAATGACAATGGGGACTAAAATACTTCTTTATCAAAGAAAAATTGAATTTTGTGCTATTGAATTGCAGTTCGTTTTCTTCTGTAAACTATTTCATGAGTTCCTAAAGCCAATTAATTACTTCTATCAGGAAAGAAGCCTTCATTTTTGTTATTATTATTTTTAAAATCACAACTGCACATGCCAAGGGAAGAAATTTTTTATTTTGTGTGTAAAATCTCATAAGACACAATCCAAGGTCATGTTCCTAAACCTTTGATTTCTATGTCAGAAAATAAGCTACCATTTATCTCAAGAAAATAGCTTACTGATTTGATTTATGGTATATTTTACATAAAATGGATTTTGAAAAACTTAATGTACACCCAATATATGTACTATATATTTTCTTTCATGGATTTTGAGTTTTCAGTCTTAGTTTCTAAGGTCTTCGGTTCAGAAAAGTATCTGGCCCCTTAAATTGCCTGGTTTAAAGTTTATATATAGTACAGTATTTAATCCAACCATAATGTAATATATTTTTATTATTTATATTCTGTAATATGCAGATTCATTTAAATTTCTTTTTTAGATGGATAAAATTAGAAGACATATATTTATAATTATAGAAAAAATATTTGGTATCTATTAAATCAAAAAAACTTTTAACACTTTTGAAAAAAATTACTACCAATAGCTCAATAGGAAAAAAAAATTACATAGGCAGTTTAGAGAATAGCACATTCAAATTATCAATAGAATAAGGAAATATGACCAAGTGATCAAATATAGAAATTTTTTTTTTTAGTTCAACATCTCCTTCTTAGAGAAGGATATATTAAAGTAATGATGATAAAGCTCTCTGTATTCACCAGATCAGAAACAAAAGGATACATGAATTTTATTGCTAAAGTGGATGAAAGAAGAAAGTTACTCACAGATTACTGGTGGATATTTAAAGTGTTATAGGCTTTCTGGTGAAAAATTACGGCAATAGTTTCTTATAAACTACATATATTCTCAATCTAGCACTGTTACTCCTGGGAATCTCTCCCAGGGAAGGGAAGCTAACAATATGTGAGGACACATGGGCAATAATGTTTATTGTAGAGATATTTTAATGACCAAAGACAGAGAAAAATGTGGTTTTTGGTAGGCAATTTTCTGAATAATTAATGTATTCACTGAATAGAATAATATGCATCCATCTAACATAGGGAACTATAGGTCTAACAGATGGCTTGGAGATATTTTCCTGGGGTATTGCTGAGTGAGCAAAATAAAGAAGCAAAAAAGGTACAAAACATGGTCCCAGTTTTATAAAATAATTATTTACAGCACCCTAAATATGATTTTCTGAATTATGTGTCTGTGTGAGATTACATAACAAAATACTTTTGTCTTTTTTTCCAGAATAATAAGAAAGGCTACTTCTTAGATCATTAACAAGAATAACTTGGAGAGAGGCAGACAGCAGTTATCAGGAGGAGGAGGAGGGTGAGGAGGAGAAAGAGGCAGATGGGATGTGAAGTAAAACTGGAAAGAAAAAGAAATTAAGACTTCACATATATTTGATTTTTTTTAAATGTAACAGTAGTGGTTACCCCTGAATAGAAGACCAGGAATGAGGGTGAAGATGATGAGGGGAAAATTTGTACTGGTGTGTGAATTTTGTTTTTCACAATATTTTCTAAAGGGTTGTAATTATTTATTTATTTATTTATTTATGGAGACAGAGTCTTGCTTTGTCATGCAGGCTGGAGTGCAGTGGTACAACCTGTGCTCACTGCAATCTCCACCCCCCAGGTTCCTTTCTCAGCCTCCTGAATAGCTGGAACTACCGGTGTGTGACACTGCACCTGGCTAGTTTTTTTGCATTTTTAGTAGAGACAGGGTTTCACCATATTTTCCAGGCTGGTCTCGAACTTCTGACCTCAAGTGATCCACCCACCGCATCCTCCCAAAGTGCTGAGATTACAGGTGTGAGCCACTGAGGTTGGCCAAGAGCTTGTAATTTAAATAACAAATAAACAAAAGTATAGTTTGAAAACAACTAAGCAAGAAAATATGAATATAAATATTCTGTAGAATGAACAAATTATGCATAAATGGGAATTATTCAAAAGTTCTTACACTTACAAGTTATCAAGTGATGCCCACTTATGCAAGTTCTGGAAGTAGGGAAGGATCCCCTGCGTTTACTGTTATTAGCCAGACATGCGCTGTCTGTTCAAAGGATTCTCTCACTCGGTATTCATAAGTGCCCTCTGAGAGAGCAAGTCGCTATTTTCATTCTACAGATGTAGAAACTGAGGCTTAGGGTGATTAAAATGGAATGTGTCAGGAAACTGGTGACATAATGTGGTTGTTACACTTTTATTTATTTTTTGTATTTTTGTTGTTTCTTTTTTTTCATGCCTCCCTTCTTACCACTGGGACTTATGTTTCAGAAATTTACTTATTAGCATCTTAAAATAGAATATATATTGAATATTAGAACTGAATTCTACAAGTAGCCAGGGTGGCAAAGCGTTTTCTGTAAGATAAATATTATAAAAGCATGAAAGACTGGATATAATAACTTTCCTAGGAGAAATGGAAATGGGATAAGGACCAAATTTTACTAAAGTTTAAAACGAACCTTTAGTACTGGAGTCCAAAGAGAGTGGTAGTATTCTAAGAAATCAAAGGGAATGTTGAAGCTTTCTCCAAATAAGGCTAGTCCAACAATAACTTCCTCAACTAATTCCATGTTGCCGTAAGAAATCTAAGAAAAACAAAACCTGCAATACAAAGAATCAAGTCCTGTTTTACAATTCTCTCTCTATATATATGTGTGTGTGTCTATGTGTGTATATGTATATATGTGTGTGTGTATATGTGTGTATATATGTGTGTATCTAGATGTGTGTATGTATACACACACACACACACACACACACACACACACACATATATATGTATGTGTATGTGTACATTTTTTGAAGCATTTGTGCATTTGGACCTGATGCCCACTGCTCCTAAAGTTTTCAAAGTGTATATCCTCCAAACAAGAATATTCTCCATTTCCAGCATAACCATCACAATTAGGAAACAGGATTGCATACCACCATCTAATCTACACATCGCATTTAAATTTTGTCAGTTGTCTTAGGGGTGCCCTTCATAATCACCCTTTTCCTTTTGTCTAGGATCCAACTCAGAGTTCAATGATGCATTTCATTGTGATGTCTCTTTAGTTTCCCTATATCAGGAGCAGTTCTTCAGCATTTCCTCATCTTCCATGACATATTTTCAAGAATGTTGGCCTGTCACTTAGTAAGATGTCTCTCAATTTAGGGCATTTGACTTTTCTTCATTATTTATTTTTGGCAGGGATACCACAGAAATACTGTTATCTTCTCATTCATCGTATTAAGAGGCATCTGATGTCAATGTGTCTCATTATTAGAGATTTTGACTTTTTTTTTCCTTTTCTTTTTTTTTTTTTTTTTGAGATGGAGTTTCACTCACATTACCCAGGCTGGAGTGCAATGGCACGATCTCGGCTCACCGCAACCTCCGCCTCCTGGTTCAGGCAATTCTCCTGCCTCAGCCTCCTGGGTAGCTGGGATTACAGGCACGCACCACCATGCCCAGCTAATTTTTTGTATTTTTAGTAGAGACGGGGTTTCACCATGTTGACCAGGATGGTCTCGATCTCTTGACCTCGTGATCCACCCGCCTCGGCCTCCCAAAGTGCTGGGATTACAGGCTTGAGCCACCGCGCCCGGCGACTGACTTTTTTTTTCTTTGATGGAGTCTTGCTCTGTCTCCAGGCTGGAATGCTGTGGTGCAACCCCTGCCTCTCCTGGTTAAGCGATTCTCCTGTCTCAGCCTCCCGAGTAGCTGGGACTACAGGTGTGCGCCACCACACCCAGTTAATTTTTGTATTTTTAGTAGAGAGTTTCACCATGTTGCCCAGGATGGTCTCAATCTCTTGACCTCATGATCCACCCACCTCGACTTCCCAAAGTGCTGGGATTATAGGCGTCAGCTACTGCGCCCAACTGAGATTTTGACTTTTATTACCTGGTTTATGAAGTGTCTGCTAAATTTATCTGCTATAAAATTAATAAGTTTTGTATTTATTAACTGAGCTGTATCTTGCAGAGACTTACTTTGAAACCATGTAGACATCGTGTTTCTTATTGAAATTTTACCCTCAGATTTAGCATTTCATTTATTCATACCGGAATCAATTATTATGTTTATGAAATGATGATGATTTTCTAATTCTACGATTCCTCTGTATTTATTAGTTTATATTCTACAAAATGCCGACTTACTTATTTACAACTTTAAAGCAGTAGGGACTAATGGCTTTCTATTGCATTCAGTTGTTTGTAATCTATTGCTGTCTTCATTTTTATGCTCAAGTTTTTCCAGGTTCGGCTATTGGGAACCTCTGCAGGCCAGCTCCTGCATCCTTTTGTTATTTTTCCTTCACTGTATAGGCACTTCCTTACTTTAAGCACAAGAGGTGCCTAAAATCAGCTGTTTATGCCAAGAACCCTAATTTGTTTCAGTGGAGAAGGGTAATTAGAAACCTGATCTAGGAACATGGTGGGCTCATTATTATTTTATACCCACACATACTCACAGACACACCGTAACTTATCTACATATATTAAATACCATGAGTCCACAGTTATACCTTCAATTTCAATCTAATTCACAAGGTTTATGCAATTCTTACTTTTCCTACCTATACCTTCTTTATCTAACCAGAAGAAACCTGGCTTCTGAATATATTTACTTATTTCCTCAATCCTCTGTATGCAACCAGTGTCACTACCACACAGCCCATCTCATTTGAGTCCTGATATCTTCACACATGTTGGGTACTCAGTATGAACACTGCACTCTTCCCTTAGGCTGGAACTTCTTATGCATGAAGTCGTATAGTATGTAAACTTTTTTCTCTGGATTCTTCAACTGAGTATAATGTTTTTGAATTCATCCACATTATTGCATCTATCAGTAGTTTTTTCCTTTTTATTGCCAAGAATAATTTCATGGCATTAATACACCATAATTTGTGTATTCATTCTTCTGCTGATCAATATTTTTATTGTTTCCTGTTTGGGGTTATTATTAAGGGGACTAGTGTGAACATTCCTGTATAATCTCTATTGTGGACATGTGTTTTCCTTCTTCTTGGGTAGATAGCAAGGTGTATAACTGCTATATTACAATCTTCCAAATAATTTTCCCATGTAGAGATACCACTTACACCAGCTGTGGTTTGAGAGTTCTGGTTGCTTCATATCCTTGCCAACATTTTATGTTGCCTGTGTTTTTAATTTTATCCAATCTAGTGGGTGTGCAGATATTTGTCATTATGGTTTAACATGCATTCCACTATTTGCTAATAACAGTGAGCCCTACTGTATGTGCTTATTGACCATATATCTTCTCTTATTGAGACGCTGATCACCACCAGTTTGAGACTATAATCTTACGACTTTCCCTAATATTTTCCTTAATATGAATCTTATCATCTTGTGTCAATGTAAACCTTTGCCCACTTAAAAAATAGGATGGTTTGTCTTTTGATCATTTATTTGTAAGAGTAATTACATATAAATATTTTCTGGCTACAAGTCTTTTGTCAGATATGCAAGTTATTTTCTCCCAGTCTGTGCCTTGCCTACCTATTTTCCTAACAGTATCTTTTGATGAGCAGAAACGCTGTCCACTGCCTTCACAATGCAGGAGCGTGGCACCTGACCTCATCAGGGCTCTTCATATTCAGGCTCTGTGCCTTAGATCATGATGCTGCTGAGTTGGCAGGGTCAATAGGCAGTGTCAAAAGTCTGAGTATTCCTAGAAACCATTCCTACACCAGGAGGGCTAACAACTTATCCGTATAAATGACTTTACCCACATAATTATAACTCTAATACACTCTCTCTTAGCCAGATGATGAAAATTCTCACAGCCATTTCATTGACAGTTGACATGAGAACTATGACAGAGGGAAGTTGGAATGGAAAGAAGAGTGCCCCCAGTGAATTATGGATAAAATACATTTTTACAAATTTTACAAAATCATATGTTTATAAGAACACTGGCTAGGACCCCACCACCACCACCCCCAGGTCTTGGAAGGGGCCTACGCAAGTGATAAGCTATGAAATTATGCTACATTGGTTTCATGGGGAATCTACCTGTGACACTGCCTATGAAGCGACCCACAGTGGCAAAATCTGCAACGTTTATTACAAATTTAACTGGAACCCAGATTATGAATTCTGCTTTCAGGCAAGATAGAATAGTTTTTAGAAGTCTTATCGGCCAGGTGTGGTGGCTCATGCTGTAATCCCAGCATACTGAGAGGCAGAGGCAGGCAAATCACCGGAGGTCAGACTTCAAGACTAGCCTGGCCAACATGGCGAAGCCCATTTCTACTAAAAATACAATAATTTTAACTGACTGTACTGGCACGCACCTGTAGTCCCAGCTACTTGGGAGGCTGAGGCAGGAGAATTGCTTGAACCTGGGAGGTGGAGGTTGCAGTAAGCCGAGATTGCACCACTGCATTTCAACCTGGGCGACAGAGTGAGACTCCATCTCTAAATAAATAAATAAATAAATAACATTTGTGTAACCGATCACAGAGCCATTGAAGCAAAAAGACAAAAAAGTTCATATTCCACGTAGTGAAGAACTATAAAGTTGAGCTGAAGTTGCTTTTTCCTTTGGGGAATGTGCTGATTCTGAGGGGAGTTACACTTGGTTTTTGTTTGTATCTGCCCTCTCCACTTTTTCTGGAGAATAGGATCGTGCTATATTGCCCAGGCAGGTCTTGTACTCCTGGGCTCAAGGTATCCTCCCACCTTTTCCTCCCTGAGAGTTGGGATTACAGGCATGAACTACCACACCTGGTGTAATTTGCTAATTCTGGATACAAGCATGAAACCGGTAAAAGGCCCATTAGTAGGAAACAGGGGAGAAGTCCAGAAATTTGCTATTTTTTCAGAGCTAAAGTAACGCAACATCAACATCGGTTGAGATCCTGATACAAAGCAGTTTTCTCTTAGGTGTTTGAAACATTTTTATGTAAGGAGGAACGTTTAAACAGCTATGTCAAAAACCTCTGAAAAACACAGCTGGATTTTCAACTGTCTTATGGTACTGAGGAATCAAAGTTGAGTTCATGACTAACCCAGAGAATGAACCCTGGCAAACATACTAGTCTTTCAGTTGAAAGCCCTAAAGGACTAACAAGAGATTGGCCAAGCCTTTCCAATATGGCAACCCAGTACTGCCTCAGCTCCGACCCTGCCTGGATAAATTCCTCTCTGCCTAGCAAAGGAAAAGGTGAACACTGAAAATCAGAGGAAATGACCATAGACTGCATTTACGAATTCCAAGGGCCACATGAAATGAATTTAGGTGAAAACAATATGTATCATTGACTGCCACAAATCTCCACACTCAATAGTTGACCAAATAGAATCTCCCTTCCGGGGAGGTATCAGAGAATAATGTTTCTGTTAAAGACTTGAAAGATGTATTGCCCTCCAGTTGCATTATCTATATAGCCTGAGCACAAAACAAAATGAGACTGGTGAATGACGTGGATCATTGTAAGCTTCATAAGGTGGCAATTTTAATTGATTGTTACTTTGAGTTTGGCTTGTTATCCTAATAGATCACCTTGACACCTGGCACTTGATTTTAGCCCACTGAAACAGATGTTGATCTTTTGATCTCCAGAACTGTAAGATAGTACAGTTACGTAGTTTTAAGTCACCAAGTGTGTGGCAATTTGTAAACGCTGCCATGGGGAACTAATAAACTAAGTGA